GGGGGGGGGCAGCTCCCCGCTGTTGCACACGCACACCCAGGGGAGGCATATGGGGCATGTGCCGCCCCACCCCAGATTTGTCCGCAGGGTGGAGGCGGGCTGCCTGCTCCCCACAGTTCTGTCCCTCACCCCACCCTGGGTCCCATTCACTGCCCTGGCTGAGCAGTGCCTGCCCCAACCCCATCCCTACTCTCTCTCCTAACCATGGGGGCCTCAATCTACCTGCCCCACACCCCTTCCCTCCCCCCACACAGACTTACCAGTAGGACACCGCTCTCCAAACTGCCAGGCTGCCTTCCTCTATATCAGCTATAGAACAGGTATTGGCCGATATGGCTAGTTAATAATCAGTTATTAGTATGGGCCAAGAAAATCTTTAATCAGTGCACCCCTACACTTCCAAGACTATTAAATATTTTTCAGAGTCACTACATTCCAGTATATAATGCTCAAGCTTGTAGGATCTGCATTCTTTGTTCTTACATTTATAATGTTACAGTCAAATAAGGTTTATATTCCTTAATTTTTGCATCATGTGCTTACCATTTCTTTAACACAGACTCTTCAATGTTACCTTCTTCCAATTCAACCTGAAGGATACTTTTTGGTTTCTTATTTTCCAAAACACACCCTCCCCTTGCAAACACACATAGACAACCTTCCTGTCTGTCCTGTCCCCCCCACTCCTTCCACAAAGGAGGACACACTGATGTGGTGTAAATATTTTTTTTAATTCTGTTCTCCCCAGATAACTGTATCCACAGATATTTGGTTCTTTAAAAGGTGCGTTTAGAATTGTTAATTGGAAGTCAAAGTTAAATTTTTAAATTAAGTAGTTCAAGTGGTTGCAGCAACAAAAATTTACAATTCAATACCCTAAGTTAAAAGAATCTGACATTCTAATTTCAGACACAACCATGTTTTGTAACAAAGATAAACAGTTGTAATTTTATTTTTACTAAAGTAGCCTCCTCTGGTTCAGCTACAATTTCTGAAAGATAATGACATGACTGTGGCTGAAAACCCTGAAACGTCTCTAGTTTCTAGTTACTGCAGACTTGCTGCTCACCTTGGTACGAAGAGATTCTGTAGGTGCTTGAGAATGCTCTGAACATAGAGATTGGGTTCCTTAATAACTGGCAGTGGAATAGACTCTTTAGGTAATACAAGAGCCATAATCCAGTCTGTATATACATCAACGCAATACTTCACAGTGTCGCCATCCAGTGGGAGGGTCAAACCATAACAAACCACCTCCATAGTCCACTTTACCTAGTCAAAGATAAAGGAAGTTGTTCAGCTATGGTGCATACCAGGACAAGCACCTGGCTATAAAAGTATTAAGCAGCGGTGCTAACAGAAGCTGTCCCTTTCCCGTTTTCAGCAATAACATGCTAATGTTCATCACTTTCCTTCAAGAAAATAAACTATTACATTTGGAAAAATCTCAAAAGTCACACACCAAGTTAGAGACCTTACTACTAAAAGAATCACCAAGGAAATTGAAACAATATGCTGTCCAATGCTATTTATGAACTTATTTTCAACCTAAAAGTCCATAAAATCTGTTATGTACTATAACATTGTTAATTCTGCCTTGTGCTGCCATTTATTAATAAGATGATATACAGAAACCACAACAGGATTTTTTTCTTCTAATTAGGAATAAAAATGTCAATCTCTGCTGGCAACTTTCAGTTTACACCAAATTTAGGTTCAACTGCCAGCTTCTTTTGACAAAAGCCCTTCATAGTTTTAAGGGGAAAAAGGCAAGCTAATACCATAACCAACAGATTGATACTTTATTAATTTATTTTCACATGAAAAGGTATCATGGACAAAATGTCCATAGTTTGTGTCACTGGCAGGAAAGAAATATGAATAAACAGCAGCAGTTCTGTTCAGATAAGGAACACATGAACCAAAGCAAACAAACAAATGAACGCACGCACACACACTTCCCCCCCCGCCCCCCACAAAAAGCTACTTTAAAAACAAGAGAAAACTAATGGAATTACTTTTGCCAGCAAGAAATTCATAGCAAAAAGGCACTAACTGAAGACTGTATTTTTGCTTTATAAAGCTTCTGGATTTTCTTCTTTTTTTAATAATCCAAGGTAGGTCACAAAACACTACACAGATCAACTAAATGGCCATTAGCACCTAAAAAGAAATAGCATCAAAAACTTTGAAGACAGACACTTACTTCTTTATCTGTTTTTAACAAACTCTCACTCCCGGTTGCTGATGGCATATTTAAGGCTTGCCCAAGGGGACGCACCACTGAATTTGCCACTTCTCTCCCCACATTTTCAGGATAGCTGTGAAGTACACTAGTATGACCCTGATCATTTTGAATGACAAGATGCAGGGACCTCCACTCCGAGTACATATTGCCTCTACACTACAGAGGAAACACCTGAAAAAAAGAGAAACCTAATTACTGAAAATGTTTATGCATAAACCAAGAAAACTGAGGCTACATAACGTAAAACATTATCAGCTGCAAATTAAATAAAATGTAAATGAATGCCTATGAAGTTCTGGAAATCAAATAAATAAATCTGTCCTTCCACCTTAAGAAGTCTCTAATGTTGCCCAATGAACCAGTTACATTGATTATGTGCAACATTTTCAGAAAATCTAAAGTAGGACTTCAGCTGTAAGCATCATTTCACCACTTCTCAAGTACTCTCCTGTACTTTATGGATGTCACAATTACTCCTGCTCCTCCCCAGCTAAAATGGAGACAAAAGAAAATTAGAGTCAGGGTGTTGTTACAGGTTACCTTTCACACGTGTTAATGGCTCTTGAAATGGAAGTGTCCACACATTAAGACAAGAAAAGACAAGCTTAAGTACCCTCTGCTCCTCTCAGATATAGTCCTCTTCACACAAGTATTTCCTTCAGCTGTTAGAGATCTTGTGTTGCATTCATGCTACTCTGCTCCACAGAACTAATCTGTGTTGGGAGCAGTCTCCCAGCATCCCAGAAGCTACCACAGCAGGGAGAGTTGGCAGCAGAGGTGCCCCAAAGGTAAGAATCCCCTACTTTCCCCTGCATGCTCTGCAGGTTCCTTCCCCTCCCCTCCTGCTCCCATTCTGGGCTCCCCCCACTTCACCTGTTGCCTGGGGCCCGCAACCCTGCCCCCTCCCCTCATCCCTTGCAGTTCACTCCTCCTGCCCCTCAGGGCTCACTCACCCCCATGTTTCTCAGGGGCTCATCCCTGCCCCCATCTGCTCCCTCTGCCCAGCTACCTGCTTACCTGTGCTACCACTACAGAAGAAAGCAGAGAGGGGGAACCAGCTTGCCTTATGCCAACATCACAACTCCTCTCCAGGCAGGTGAATGGGGAGCAGCTGGGGAGTCACAGGGAGAAAGATGAGTGGGTCCCAACCCAAGATCAGGACCTGCTCATCCGCTCCTCCCCATGGATCCCAGCATCTTCCAGGGGGCTGTACTCAGCTTCAAAAGAGGCAACAGTAGTGGCATCAGGCAGGTGGGTTCTCCTTCCCTGCCTATTCCTGCACCAGGAGCATAGGTTAGTGGGATGCTGGGGAGGGGGAGATGAACTCCCAGGGGACAGGAGAACAGGTGAGCCCCAAGGCGCTAGAGGAAGGCAGGCATGGCCCTAATCTGGGCCAGGGGGATGGGCAGGGCCCCAAACTTGGAGTCTATACTAACTCAAAGAGCCAGAGAGCAGGGCAGGCATGAAGCAGACTTGCAGGTCCTAGCCATACCTCTGCTCACTAGTCTTCTAAGAGCAGGTCAGTGCCCTGCATGTTACAGAGGGTATTAACCCTGTGACTGATCACAGCATATGCGAACTTTAACAGAGTCTAAAATTCCTCAGTTAGCCCATGCCAACTGTAATATTTACCAACACCCTCAGTCT